TAATTTGTTTGGCATCTTACCTTTTAGATCCATAAAGAGTTTGAGCATCTGAAATATTTGATGAATAAATAAACTGGATGAGTAATGCCGATAGGAATGATTTTATTTCAAGTAAATTATAATTAGTTACACACTTCTGCATCGCACAGTCTAGACAACATAAAACTAAAAGGAAAAATAGAGGAAAGTTTTGTTGTAGTAAATTTTGGTACACCTCACTTTTTTGGGTTGCTGAACTCTAATCTGAAGTTTACAGAAAGAAATTTTGCCCAGAATCAATTTTTTTTTATTTTCTATCAACATAGCGATTGGTTTATAAATTTTTCACCTATAACTCAAAAACTATGTTTTGTTTTGTTTTTGGAAAGATTACTAAAAATGAAACTGTCTCCATTTTTTTGTATGCAAATTTCATTTTTCTCCCCTCTATGATCTAATGGTTAAACCACAAGAGTAGCTATGAAAGGGACCAATTTCCCAAAAGAAGCATAAAAGCATTTTTTGGCTCTTTATTTATAACCGATTTTCATGAAAACTTCCAGTGTTCTGCTAAAATGCTATTAAAATACACAAAAAACCATGAAAACTAAACTTCTATTTGGTATAACAAAATAAGCATCACTATAACAAGGAAATGATTGTATGAGAAGCCCACAAATTTATCTCCAATACTTATCCCTTTTATAACTATAACTCCAAAAAAAAGTTTCTTAAGAATCATAATTATGAATTGATGGTTGACTGTAGTGAATAATTGAAGAGAAGAATTGTTGGGGTTATCAGTAAAAATAATTTAGTGAAAATGGATAATTATATTTATTTTTGCCGACGTTTTGACCTAATGATCAGGCCTTCATTAGGGCTAAGAAAAAAACAGATAACAATAGGTATGGGAAACTATGAATATTGAATAATAAAGAATTAAAATTAAAGTAAAATAATGTAGATAGAGTGAACATAAAAGTAAAATAAAGTAGATAGAATAATAACAGTAACAAAGAACTAAAAAATAAATAATAATGGCAACAAAGTATCAATATAGACAAAATAGAGGAGATATGGAAAATAGAGTGACGGGAAAAAGGAAAAGAGGAGAAAACTAAGATAAGAAATATAAACAGACCTGGTCAAGTGAAGAGCTGCACAAGACAGGCGTATTATGGTAAGAAAGAGTGGAGCTTACAGAGCGCCATCTGTAACGGTTAACTGAAATACGTGAACTAAAGCACAGAAATGTATATAATGGATGAGAGGTTTATTATAGATAAATTCTATGAGTTATTAAATAAATGTGGAATTGAAAGAGAATGGAAATAAGGTATCTGGAGAAACATAAAACAGAGATAATAAATACTAAATAATAATGGAGTATTACTGAAATAAATTCAAAACGTTAAATTAAGGAAAAAAAAAAAGAATTAAAATTAAAGAGGTAGTATAATGTAATATAGTATAAATTAAGGATAATATAATATAGAATAAACTAAGCAGACAGTATAAATGTTAAGTAATAATGGAGTATGACTGATCTACATGAAACATGAGATTAAAGAAAACGAAAAATGAATTAAATTAAAGAGAAATAAGGAAGTTGTCACCGGGAAAAAAATAAATAAATGTATGGAGTACTGAGAGGAAGAATATTGAGGATAGGGAAGAGCTGCTATGGATGTTCAAATAAATTCAGAATTTGGGAATAGGCCAAGGACAAGTTTTGTTTGTCTGTTTTTAGATCCACTATCTTCGGTTGGAGCTGGATGTGGAGGGTTTTAAAGATGAATCGTTTGTCATGGTTAGGAACGGATGCAAGGATGGAAATTTTGCCGAAATTGAATGTATGGTTTAGGGAGAGAGAGTGTTCGGATAATTTGGAGGCGGTAAAATTACAAGAGGATATAGAATATTTATGTTGGGTGATGCGGTCTTTTAAAAGATAAGAAGAAAAGCAATTAGGGGTAGAACACGGAATACTGTAAACAATATGAGAGCGGTGTGAAAGAGGACAGGATCTTTTAGGGATGTGTACAAATTAGAAAGTGTGTTGTGAGATTTAAAGACAAGTCGTAAGTTAGGGATGGTAGATCGTAAAACTTTGTTTATATTGTCAGAAAGATTAGGAGCATAAGGTAGAGATCTGCATATGGAGGCCGAGATAGAGGAAGAGCGATTTTTGTGGTCTTTTATAAGTTTGTTGATGATATAGAGAGGAAAATTATTATTTGGAAGGATCTTGAAAGGATAATTGGAGTGCTGGTGACACTTCCCAAATGATATAGTTCCTTCCATTCTATTACCAGTTCCTGATATTTTCTCAGTTTTTTTTCCAAAAATAAAGCTTACATTATTATCAATGGAGATCTCAACATCAATAAGCTCTGCTTTTTTTTCTCTCATATCTATCAGGAGGATATCTGGATTATTATGACGCACAGTTTGGTCAGTTATAATAGATTCATCCCAATAGAGCTTGAGACCACCTTTTTGGAGTTTATTTGGGTGGCATTTATAATATACAGTTTTATCATCTAACCAGTTGAGCTTCACCGCCAGAACCTGGTGAAAATTTTTGGCAACTCTGTTATACCTCTGTAGATATTCGGTGCCAGCTAACACTCCCCACCCACCTCTGATATGTTGAATTGATTCCTGCTTTGCTGAGCATAATCGACATTTATCCATAGTTGTTGCGTATTTCAGAACATGCCTTCTATATGATCTAGTAGCAATAACTTGGCCTTGGATGGTGAATAGAAATCCTTCAGTCTCGGAGAATATCTTTCCAACGTTAAGCCATTCAACGGATATTTCCTTGTGAATGGAGCTATCATTCAATTTGCTTTAGAATCTTCCATGCAAAGATTTGCTTTTCCATTCTTACAACCGTTCATTTTCTGACACAATCGCAGAGATATCAAGTTTGCTTAGGTTAAGTGCGGTTAGACCATAATCCATCCTTGAGATTGCAAGGTATACTGCAGTTGTTTTTGTAACAAAATATCGGTGTAGAGCCACTTTCTGCATGCGACAAGCTTCTTGGATATTTAGCAAACCACGTCCTCCTTCTTTTCTAGGTAAATACAGAAGAGCTTTGGAGGATATTGGGTGGTGGGTCCATTCTTGTGTGAGTCATTCGCACAAGGCGTTGGATCTCCTGCAGACTGGCGTTTGACCAGTGCAATATGCCAAAACTATAACTGAGAGCAGGTATTGCCCAGGTGTTGATAGCCTTGATTTTTAGTTTCCCAGTTAGCTGAGTCTTGAGCACTTTCCATAATCTAATTTTGAACATTGTTAGAAGGTTTTGTTGCAGTCTTTTCTTGCATTTTTAAGGTATTGTTGCAAGCCCAGATATTTACATAATTTATTGTCTTCAAGCTCCTTGATGTACTCTTTTTCATTAATTAAAATATTCTGCATACTAACCACTTTTCCTTTGGTTACATGGAGCATAGCACGTTTATAGAGACATATGCCTATGTCACTAGTAAAAGATGAAACAGCTTCAACCACATTTTGTAATTGTTCTTTGTTTTTCGTGTATAGTTTAAGGTCCATGTACTAGCTGTGGCTGACTGGGGTAGCTTTATCGTTGATGATAAGTTTGTATCCCATCTTGTTCTTTCGAAGAATCCTGCTTAGTGGGAACAAAGCCATACAGAACCACAAGTGGCTTAGACAATCCCCTTGGTATATTCCTCTCAATATTTTAATTTAGTTCTCTGTGCAGATATTTCCGACTTTCAATGTAGTTTTCCATACTGTCACTAGGTTTGAAAGGAACCTGCTTACTTCAGATTCAACCATGTATACAGTGTGGAACCGAGTCAAAGGCCTTTTTATAATCGATTCATCCCATAGAGAGCTGTTTTTTCTAAACTTGTGCTGCAATGAACTATTACTAAGAGTTTTTTGCTCCCCAGCTGTTCTATGGGTATCGTATTCTCACTTTCAAGGTGTTTATATCTTACTTGCCAAGATAGAAGTTAGAATTTTATACAGATCATTTAAACATGTTATTGGCCGAAAATCTTCAGGATGCATGTTCGAGTCATTCTTTTTTGGCAGCATATACTTGATACCATCAGAGGGGCTCTATTTGTCCTCAAGTATTTCCTCGTAACCTTTGGCCAGTAATTCATGCAAGCAACGAAATCTTTTGATCCAATAATTCTGGATTCCATCAGGCCCTGGTTCCCTCCAATTTTTCATGTTCCTGACCGCTTCCGAAACATCTTCCACTGTTATGATCACTTCCATCATTTCAGAGGAATCCTGGAAAGTTCGCAATTCTTCTTCGATCCAAGAGCTCTCAAGGTGATTCCTCGAATTTTCCCATAGTCTGCAATGTCATAAGGTTATTTGCTCGATATTTTTTCTTTTTTCATAAGGTTTCTATAAAACTGGTGTTCATTCAGCTTGAACAGCTGATTTTGTTTCCTGCGTAATGCTGCCTCACAATATCTACACAATCTGCTGGCATGAACTGCCAGCTTTTGCTTCAGACTAATCTAGATATAGAGTCAGCAGCCTCTCAATTAACTCACTTTCAATTACGGTTCCCAAATTCTGAACTATAATCTCATCTATTTTCCTTTTTGTAATAGGTCTTGCAGCTTGAAGGTTATGAATAAAGTTTAAGATGAAGCCAATTTGTCCACGTAAGATATAAATTTTCCTTTGAAGTCTTCTCTTCCACTGAGGTATTCCTCTATATCCTGTTGGAAGTTTATTTTTACTTTTATCTTTCATTTTTATGCCCAGCTCTAATGAAACTATCTTAGCACCATTATATAGCCAATGAGGAATATCTTGAAGGCCATTAATTAGGGCTATATTTTCCTTAAGAACATTATTCATTATATTAGTTATTTTGATTGTGGCCTCATTATACGGTACTCTGGGCAACGATGCTCGCTCCTGAAGCGGTATTCCCTTAAGCAGAATATGCTTGGTCAAAAGTGATCAATCTACTTTCTATATCCGCCTCATTCATTTGTTTCGCTGAATCTTTATTACTGACTGATGCACTGACTATACCAGCGTCTGAATCTATTCTTGTATTGAGCACTCCATCAGAGAGCTCAACATTATTTTCAGTGGCCAATAACGCACGAAATTCGTCTTTAAGTAGTTGGAAGTCATTCCAAGTAAGAAAATTTCTCACTAGTATTCCTCTTACCTAATCACTCAGTATCTGCATGCTTATATTAATATCCGGGAAGGACTCACGCCAGTATCTTTGTATACGGTTCAGATATCCTGTTTCTCTGTTTCAAATTTTGTTGACAAATAGTATGCTCAGATCACAGTCATATTATTATTAATATTATTTTTATTGTTTATATACCATATATTATTATTTACATACTTATGTTATGTTATTTTGATTATGTTTATTTCATTAGTCCCTACTTTGTTGCCATTATTATTTATATCTTAGTTCAATGTTACTGTTATTATTCTGTCTACTTTATTTTACTTTTGTGTTCAGTCTATCTATTTTATTTAACTTTAAGTTTATTCTTACTACATTTTTTAGTCTATACCTTTCATCTTTTTAATTTTAATTCTTTATTATTCAATGTTTATAGTTTCTCATACCTATTGTTACCTGGTTTTTTCTTAGCCCTGATGAAGGCCTGAACTTTGGGCCGAAACATCGGCAAAAATAACAACATAAATATAATCATTATTTTTACTAATTTTTTTTATTGATAACCCCAACCATTCTTCTCTTCAATTTGTTAAGAATCAGTGATATCATGTATGTAATGACCCTTTGCACGTAGTTACAACAATAACTATTATCGCCATAGGGAGGAAGACATTTATATTTGCATTCTTGTTGACCTACACAAAAAGTGATCCTCATTTCTCACTATTTTTCTCACCTTGCCATATATTACAGTGGTTTTGTTGACCCATATCACCATTATTGCTCTTGCTTTTTAATGCTTCCCCATGACAGTCATAATTTATACAGGAAAGACATGTAAGAGAATAGGTGGAACTGAAAAGATGGAATAGTTATAATTGACAATTTTTTTTTTTAGTTTAAGTTTGTAAAGTGGCACATGTTTTCCTTGTATAATGCCTTTTATTGTCTTTCTATTTAATTTTTGTTTATTTATAAATTTACTCATAAGTTTTATCAAATATATATTAAGCCCTTTCCGTGGATCTATAAGTTTAATTAAAAAAATTAAACTCTTCAAGTTCCTATGCTATGTTTATAACCATAACTTTAAGTTAATATAGGTATATTAAATTGAACTTTAAGACTATTATAATTTGTCTTGTATTTAAAGGCAAAGATTAATTAATACATAATATTGAGGATAATACATAATTAATTAATAATGAGTTATTTTTGTCTCTCCTAGCATTGAAATTTAGTACAAATTAGCTATACACCGACATAATCAATTAACGAAAGCCCTGATGTTTCATTAATTTACTATACTTATTTAAAATATTTGATTCAATACTTTCTAAGAAATAGGGTGAATAAGAAATGTGGACAAAATAAAATACTAATGGTGTATATTCTAAAGACTTTAAAGATTTATGAAATTTTACAATTAAAAAAAAATATATTAAACATTTTGAAGAGTTTATAAACATCAAGTAAAAATTTTGATTAAATGTTTTAAAAATAGTGATGCCTGGGAATTATACATAAAATATGGATATACTTTCATTTATTGGTTTGAAGATTATCTTGGATGATAAATGAGCTTGACAGTTGACAGAATGATTGACTCCAATTTCAACATTTTTGATTATTAATTTTAGTGATATTTCTAGTGGGAAAATTTATACCTTTATTCACAATTCTGCAATCACTTTCTCAGGAATTAACTTACACACTGTCTGTACAGATATTATAAATTTTCCAATCAGAAATATCACTAAAATGACTTTATGCAAAAATGTTGAAATTGGAGTTAGTCATTCTGTCAACTGAAAGTCACAGATAATGGCTAACACAGCAGTTCCAGAGAAACCTTAGCCAGAAACCATTTCTCTGAGTACAAAAATTGTTGGAAATCATAATAAACGTATCTTGAAAGGAATTCTGAATATCATAAAAAAATAAATACCGTAAAAATTAAGCTAATTATATCGGATGTTTACCAATGTTTACTGCTTAATAAATATTATTTAATGGGTTCCTTATTATTTTCCAAAAAATATTTTTTTTTAAATGTGTACCAAGTGCAAATTATAGTATGTAAATTAGGAGTCACTGGCATTAATTGGCATTAAAAATTAATATAATTCCTACCTGGTTATTTGATTTTCCAGGAAACATTATTTTGCCAGTATAGAGTTCGTATATAGTACACCCAACAGACCATATATCAACACCAAAGTCATATGACATGCCAAGAACTGAAATCAATAAATGAATTCATTATTGTGATTATTTTGACAGGTGTCACAGTTAATACAGCAAAATTTGTAACAATATGTATTGCTAATATTTTAAATAATCAACAAGAAGATAATAATGAAACTATGAATAATAATTACAATCTTAAGCATGCATAATAGTTCAACATTCATAACAAAGTAAAATATACTCACTGATTTCGGGAGCACGATAGAATCTGCTTACTAAATAAGGTGTTATTTCACTTTCGGCAACATGTGATGCAGATCCAAAATCACAAAGCTTCAATACCAATTTACTCTCATTTACCTATAAAATATAATTTTCGCTATGCTTTAAATTATCAATCAATGCACAGCAGCGGTCACCCACTGTAAATAGCCTGCTAGGGCCATGTCATATTTATCACATGTCATTAATATTTTATATTCTTTATCACTACACTAAGTTAATTATATATTAATTCAAATTAATTATAAGATTTAGAAAAAGTGATATTTGATTTATTTATGTGTAAACTTCTGGGAATGCTATTTATAACTTTGACCATTAATTTATTGTACTTACAACAGTTTAACTTAAATTGCAAAATAAAGAAATATTAATATCCATCCAAGATTATTAAACCAGCCCAAACACTTTGCTTTTGAGTTATGTATGCATTTAAGTACTAATGCACTTAAAATATATTTATAAATGAGTGATTAATTTTTTATAGCCAAAATGAATTTTATTTTTATTTTTAAGAATAGATATTTTTAGCAAAGTTATAATTTTTATTTTGTATATCTAACTCTCACTTAACATTTTTTACTTTATTTGTTCATTATTAACCTTGCCTTTCACTTTTACTGCTACTAATAAAGGAAAGTACGGAAGTTGGATCAAATCTTTTAATTCAATTAACACCAGATTTATGAACTATGAAAGAAATTGATAATCAATTAAAGGAGAAATAAGATTCTCACATTTTCAAAATTAATATTAAAAATCAATTAGAAGCGATGTGGGTTAGATCTAAGTATAAAATACGTTGAATCCAACGTCATTCAATTCTTTTTTTCACTTAAAAAAGACACTAAAAAATACAATAGAAACAATGCTAGATTTTTAAATCTACAAATATTCATGAAGAAATTGTATTGAGTTGCATTGAAAACTCATTTATCTGCATCACGTAAAACAATTATGATTAAAAAAAAATATATAAAGGCCATATGTGAATGACTGTGTATTCTAATTATTTATTTAATTATAAAAGTATTACGAATTTTTTTTAATCCGACAAGAGTGACAATGGCCAAGGAATCCGCTATGTTTATTTATATTTCCTTTTGGGTATTTTTATTTGTTTAAGCACAGGAATGTACAAATTTTAATTTTTATATTAATATGAAACTCTGCCACATCCGCCCTATTCTCTGGAACTCTCGCCTATGGATTATCATTTTTTTTTACACCTGGAACACTACTTACGTGATAAAAATTTTAATGGACAAAATGAATTAAAGAATGCATTTTTGGAGTTTATTCCCACTCTAAAGATGGTAAAATCTATTCCGAGGAAATGGAAAAGTTGCCAACACGTTGGCAGTAAATGTATTGATAGAAGTGGAGAGTATTTTGATTAAATAAAACAGTTGTAAATTTTTCTTTTTAAAATATTGTATTACCATAAGGATAGTAATGTTTATAATACAAAAAGAGTCTATTTGTCTATTGATTCTTTCTCCCCCCCCCAAAAAAAAAAAAAAAATTTCTGGACAACCCAAAATATAAATTTTACCATAGAATGTATACTTTGCGAGTTAGGCCCAAAACATTATTTTTTTCCTTATAAAACTTACTTAGTTTTCTGAGCAAAACTTCTCATTTATCCATCATTCCCTCAGGATTTTTTATTTTATTTTATTTTTTTGCCAGTATGGAATTTTCGATTGTTCAAACTAATGAAGTTTGGATTACTAATATCGCACTAGGAATAACACAGAAATTTAATCATGGTAGTTCATTGAAAATTAAATTAATGCCAAATGTATCTTATTATTAAAAATTAGTACTAATGAATTCCAGAAATAATATAATGAAAATTAATTTTTCATTTAGGCATTCAACATATTTGATAAGGTATAACTGACATTAATTACGAATAACTGAACATTGAAAGAAAATAAAGTTGCAAAAACAGAAATGAAAATAAAAGAATACAATGTTGATAATTTTAATTACAAATTGTGTTGGGACAGCATCAGATAGTTTTTTATTTCACAGCAGACTAAAATAATAAATCTCTTATACTTTGGTTAATTCAAATAAAAAAAGCAATTGTAACTTACAAGAATATTGTCTGGTTTTATATCAGCATGCAAAATGTTGACTTTTTTAAGTAATTTCAGTGCTAAAAATAATTGTTGACTGTAGGATCTGACAGCTTTTACATGAAGTCCAACATCTTTACCATATTTCTTCAAAACCTTAAATACAACAATCGAAAAATTGGGTTAGAATTTGTTTTTATTCTTAAACATGAGTAAGAAAATAAATTATCTATCAGCAGCATACAAATCATATAAATTATTCCAATAGCTAAGTAACAGAGCAATGGCTATGCTATATTGACAATTAAGTAATGAAATCCGGTAAGTGCAAAAACTAAAAATATTCAGAAGATGAAATGAAAATTTAAAATTTTTTTATTTTATTTTATGAATTAGATATTCTGCTATTTTTTATATTGCCTTATTAAGAAACAGATGTACTGTTTTAAATAACTTTTTTGATTCATATGACTGACAGCGCATGAAGCCAAGATTGACCTTAAAAGCTCAAAATCCCACATTATAATAAATTTATTCTTACAGGATCTTGCAGCATAGCTATTGATATCCAGGTAGAGCAACTACTATTAGTTAGAGTGCTAGCAATATTAGAAATGCACTTCCTATTTTTCTGTTTTGAGGCCAACGGTTGTGCAAGGAGGGGATCAGGCCAGGATCATGCTTAACTGTCAGGTTTTCCCCTTTTAATTATTTAATTAAGGATACCCACTTTGAAGAGGCTGGGTGTGCCCCAGGAGGGGCTCCCTTCTCCAGAGTCGTCCCACGGCCAATGAAACAGAATAAATAATTTTTCTGTCATGAGCCGGGATTGGATCCTGGGACCTTTAGCATTGGAAGCTTAGTGCCCTACCACTGAGCTACACCGCTCCCCCCAACTCTGCCTTCATAAGTAACAAAATCAATCCAAAACTCTATCCAAAGGTATGGATAGATTGATAGTTCTACAACAAATCTAGGATCTAGTCTGAATATAATTGTATAAGTATGCAAGCACAATGACATTTCTCCAGTCAAGTATAAGGACATTAATAATGACCATAACTCCACTAACTTATAATTACATCTGTCTGCTTTAGTACATATCTAACCTGTTTGAAGTTATTGATAATGGCAATGGTTGTTTTTTCTTTCCATCCCTAGAAACCTATGAAAATCTATTGTTTCTCCTTATCGAACCTTCTGGTTTCCCATATGAAAATCAAAAAGGATAGACATTCAATGGAAGAAACTTTGTATTCCTGAATTCTATCAGAGCCTAGTAGACTATATCTTTAGCGATATATGGCATACTTGTATGATGAAGGACAGATCCTAGTATCTATCCACACAAATAGCAGGTTTCATCAACCACATATCTAAAAATCTTAAGACTTTAACTGCTAACAACAGACACAACATAATGCGCCCCTGTTGCTAATAATATAGCAGACATGGCCCACTTCTGCCCTCAGTGCTAATGTCGGCTATAGCCATCCTACAGCTTTTCTTACCATTTAATAATATCAAGTATAGCCAGCATGACCTTATGACATTTTACTGGTTTCCTAATGAAATAAACCTCCTAACAAGAGCTACTGTCATCTCCATGTTGATGCCCCTGGGTTGTCCAATGGGACTCGCAAACAACAGAGGTGGGGACCATTCGCTTCTATCTTAATGATAGTTGGGATAGTTCTATTACACACCCAAGCTAAGTTGAGGGAGCTGGAGATGAGGATGAGTGGCAGAGGATGTATAAAAATACATTGTCTTTTATCCTCATAAAAACCCATTGTAAATAGCTGTCTGTAGGGAGAGGGAACAGTAACTACAGACCATTCGCCCCCGTACTTGTGGGAACAAAATGCAAGCCAAACATAATCCAAAAACAAAATAAACTTACTTTACAAACTCTTCCTTCCGAGGAAAATTATTTTTCCTCAGAACCTCAATTATTCAGGGGCTTCCTTGAACATAACCCTCGATGGGAGGCACTTTCAAATCTCTCACTGCTGAAGTAGAGACTACAAGTATGCTACGAAGGTAAAAAGATTAAGATGGCAACCACAGTTCGAGGCTGGAGTTGTTGCCCTACCTTCACAAAATCTTACACAAAACCAGCTTATCAGTAGGCTCGACTGATTTAAATGTTCAGGTAGTAGGCAGAGGATTTGCTTCGAAAGAAGCAGTCCTGCCACACTTCAGCCATCAAAATCAATGATAAGGTAGCAAAGAAGAAATAGAGTAACTGCCAGGATCATCTTAAATTACATCCCGAATCAGGGCCCTAGGCTAAGGATGCAAGGGTCATCCCAGATCCCACAAACAAGGCCAAGGGCCTGAAGTATTGGCCTCTGAATCGAGCAGAAAAGGTGAGATTATGGAACTGAGCTGTGGGCAGGAGGCTAAGAGTGCAAGGGTCCGACGACCCAGCTTCCAAGGCTGAATTGCCTGCTGCAAAAGTTCTGTTAAGATACTTTACTCAGATGTAGACGCCCTCTGGGCCACATACTGAAGATGTAGGGGTCTCTCGAGACCCAACTGAAGATGTAGGGGTCTCTCGAGACCCAACGTCTAAGACTCTGAGGGTCCAAGGGCAAGCTTCAAAGAAAGGAAAAAGAAACAGAACCTCTCTGGGCAACTACTTCAGCATCTAGTGCTAAGAATCCCAGGGAGGCAGATGGCAAAAGTTATGCCTCAGCCATGAGGGGTCAGCAGGTTGTGACACTAAAAGAACTCAGGTAAGGTTGATGAACTAGATGAAAACGGTGAGTACCACCCACTTTTTGATGGTGTTAGCAACAAAATGGGGAGAGGTATGGTCTCTTGAATGAATAAAGAGACAAGTGCTTGGCTTGCTAAGATAGTTCCGTGCATCAACCTAGCAGAGGGTATCACCCTTCGAGCGGGAGATGCTCAGGAGCTCACTAGAACCTCCAAGATAGGTGCCTTTCCAGGGAGAGTGCTTACAAAGGAGGCACTAATGAAAAGACTCAGGATGCAGAATACCACAGTTGAACGAGTCAATGAATGGAATCTGTATTACCTAACTAAATGTCTACATGTCTACCTAATTACTTTCTTTAGATGAATTTGCTCAAAGTGAATGTACACCACTGCACTGTATTGCGGCAAGTGGAGTGCTTCTGCAATACATTGAATGTGAGGATATTGATATTATTCTAATCCAAGAATCTTACTTAATTAATAACAGGGTCGTGAGATTGGAAATCACAGGCTACTGAATTATTTCTGGTCGCCATTAATCTCAGGGCCTGCATTCCTTACAAAAATAATCACCAAAATTACTGCCTCTTTGGCAACTTTGTTCTGGATATTGAGCAGCAGCCAGATAAACTTCACCAAACGATAAGGGGACACTAAACATATTGGTGGGTTACCTCCTCTATGAGTAGGGAGATCCTGCTCAAGATTTGGACATCATAAAATTCACTGATGGAAGCACCCTGATGGGACTTGACGCCAATGTCCACAGCATCCTATGGGCAGCAGCAATAATAACCTGAGAGGTGAGATGTTACTCACATTTATATATAATTTCTTAAAACAGAACATGGACACACTGAAAAGTGGATTAAGCCTGCATGCAGGAGGTTGTTCACAGGGAGATGTACTTTCCCCAATATTGTGGTATTTGGAGGTGGACTCTTTACTCGTCACACTAAATACTGAAAGCTTTTATGCACAGGGATATGCGGACGATATCGCTATTCTTATAAGCAGAAAACATCAGAATGTTCTTTCTGATCTATTGAGGTCTATCACAGGAGTCTTGGAGGGATGGTGGCGGTCGAGTGGGCTGAGTATCAACCCGGCTAAGATAAAAGTGTGCATTTTCACAATGAAGGAAAAGGTTATAAGACTACCTAAAATTAATGGTATCCTGCTAACATCAAGTAAGAAGGTGAAACATTTAAGTGTTATGCTGGACAATAAAATGAAATGTTATGGTTATGTGGTCAAAACACAATTAATAAAGCACTAAAATGCCTTTGAGTGTGTAAAAATGCTGTAGGAAAGCATGGGGGCTTAAACCATGAATGGTTTACTGGAACAAATCCTTTGCAATTCAAGCCGTCTCCCTCAGGAATTCCATACCTCCTGATAAAATCAGTTTCCTCTTTCAAACCTCTCCTCTTCAAACACTTAATCCTTTCTCAATCTAACTGCAGTCGTAGTCGAAATATACCTACTAGACATTATTTCTGTTATTTTAATTTCCTTTGTTTGTTTTATAAATATGTACACTTTTCTTTCCTTTTTTTCTCTTTCTTCGGTATTTTTACATTGAATTAACTATTATTGTAAATATTTAATTTATTTATGACCACGCAATCATGCATTCTGTACTTACAATTTGTTCTAAAGGGACAACAGTATCATAATAATGAAATATATTTTCATTACATTTCAAGCAACAATACGAGCACTGGACAATTATACAACTAGATCTAAAGCTGTTAAGGATTGTGTGTAGGTTGTTAATGACCTACTAGATTTAATAAGGTAAACTGAATCGATGCCAGGACACCCTGGCATTCCTGGAAATGAGATGGCGCATGAATTAGCAAGAATAGGCTAACAAACGACTCCTTATAACTCCTGACCCTATCCATGGAGTTAGTTGGTGTCTAATAAATAATAGAATTGGGGAGCCAAAATAGAAACAGCTGAAGTCCTGTAGCATGGAGATTAACATAAGCTGTAATGGTGAATGAAAGCTGTTAAGTCAGAAGCAAGAAATGAGGCATAACAATAACTGCTAAAATGATATGTGTTTAGCCAATACATTATCTGCAAGTAATGGGCTCATAGTAATTCCAGAGGATGATGAAGAACAGAGAGAGGTCATTTTTAAAGTAAGAATCTTATATATATATTGCTTATATCTGTGCCCTGGAGGTAAACGATACCATATCCATTTTTTTTATTAAATAATTTAGTAACGAAGAAAAAATTTTAATAGCTCGAAGTTAGGGAACATTGGCTCTCTGAACAAATACAAAAATGCAACAGTGTCCTTTACCTCTGAAGTACAGATTTAGTGACAAAGAAACAAATTTTAATAGCTCAAAGTTATTAAGTATTGGTCCCCTTGAACAAATAAAATAATGGACATGGTGTTGTTCATCTTCAGGTATAATTTTTGATGTGTTGTATGCGGTAAATCTTAACTGAATTTTACTGAACAAAAACCAATCAAAACATAAAATGTTATTGATTAATCATAAATAAAAATTAATTACCATGGTGAAATATTTAGGAGATAGTAAATATTTTAAATAAAACATAAAAACATATTCAATAAACTTTCATTTGAATAATGCTCAAGTTCTTTTAAATATCAACAAAATAAGAAGTTTCATTGCTAGGTTGCTATGCTAGCAATAAACAGAAATAGAACAATTTTCTGAACACAGTGAAGCGCTCAGTTTATCGATGGCATAGAATCCATCTCTAGATTGGATGAAACGATGCCATGCCATCAATGAGCTCAATGCTGAATTTGGGAACTTGCCCATAAGATCATAAGTATTAACGAAATACAGAGCCAAAATAATTACCTCTCGAAGGTTCATACTTAAAGGTTCAAAAACTAAACACAAATGTTGCTTGTGAAAGAAGTGACGAAACAACCTCAAACAGTGAAATTTGTCATCAGGATCAGCTTCATTTAATCGTTTCAGAACATCAAGCTCCTTTAAACCAGTTTTATGCCTGAAATAAGAAACCATTTATGACTGTTGAATAAACTCAAACTACAATTTAATATTCATTGATTATGAAAACTAAACCTAAAGTTCTAAACAACATACAGTACATAATGAAAGTTGGTAACAACAAATTGAAATTTAAAGTATTTAAATCAGAATGCAGAGTAAGAAAAAATTAGTAGAAACTCCTTATTTTTATGAACTAGGTTAACCTTTTAGCTGAGACGAGCAGGTAGAACGGAGGAAGGTACTAGCCAACACTTCTCCGTGATAGAATATTTTTCATCATCTCTAATGACCACTTTAGCATTTTTATTCAGCAAATTGTTCCAAACTTCATTATTTAGCTTTATTACCTACCAAATAACCTACTGCCTCATAGAAAGGTCATGAGATAGTTTGAAAGTAAAATCCATCATGATCACCCGGTGTTTAACAAGAAAGAGTCTGACAAGCCCCAAACTCATAAATGAGGCAACCTTCACTACAGCATAGTCCTGTCTCGAGTCATAAATGAGTCTACTGCCCCCTGGGCCTAGATAAGTCCACCGTCATGTCATTAAAGGGTTAACAAGAATTATCGGATAATAAAAAATAATTTCTTAGCCCCATTCCATAATGATGTATTTCATAGCATTGGCATTCAAAAACAATCCTGATTAACATTAATCTTGAACAACTGCGACCAACAACATACAGTGAAATTGTGGGCTAAGACGAACTTATTTTAAAAACAAATATTTAGCAGTAAACCTAAATCAATTTTCTAGATTCTTCCCCCTCATCCTTTCCATTTAGTTTGATTTATTTGCTCTCCCTACCTTATCTTTTGACAATACAAGATTTCAATTATATTGTATAAAATAATAAAATTAATTTTTCTCTTTCATTATTCCGAAGTCTATCATCATCTTTCGATTCCACAAAGTCTTAATCTTTATTTCTATCCAATGGTCTCCCCGGATCGAAAATGTCAAAGTTGCTGTGTTTTCACCTTACTCTTAAATCAAAATGAGCTACAGCCACTGCGTTCGCTAAGGCTTTGCAGAATTTGTAATCCTTTACAGTGACGAGTAAAGGAAAATCATCTTTATCAAAGTTCTTTAGCTTGAACCTCAGTGCCTTAAATGGATTGCACTTTATGATCACAATGTTCGGCAGTTCCCGGAATGCCACAATTGGGAGATACGGGATCGATATCCTTCCTAAGGCTAAGCAACTAGCCACGAAAGCCTACATCTCCATTGAGGACTTTACGAGATCTAATAGGCAGATTGGACTGATTTAGTATCTAAGCAACACTGGATGGAGAAATAATTCCTTAGCAAACACCCCTCTTGGTGATAGTCATCCTTTATCTATTCTATTCCTGAACAGTGATTTCTTTTATTACTGCATTGCATCTAGTGGGTTACTTCTCGATTCTCACTCGAAGGTTTTCTTAAGGCCCTTCTCTCTTGAGAAAATGTTTGATCAAATCTTGCAGGAGATTGACAGGTATTTTTCCTACTAAGACCTATACTGCCAATTGAGGTACTAAAGACATTATGCTCAGTGAGATCAGAACAGAGCCGTTCTTTGTGTATGTGTCAACTTATTTTCTTGTTGATTAGAGAGATTCAGATACCCAGTAATATCCCTTTGTAGAAGGGGAATATAAGGAAACATTTTCACCATATATTTTTCATTTTAAAATAAAAATAATATCAAATAATGCTGAATCCAGCATATGCCTGCTGCAAAAAAATACTAGCACCTAGACATATTAACATCTTTGGCAGCCTCAACAGCCTTAACTGATCTTCAGCAGGATAAGATAGTCAAGTTACTGATGCCTGCATACTGAGAAATGCCTACATTTCTGACTTAAGAAAAATCCATTGGTGGAAAGCCACAAATTCCTTTCAAAAGATCAGTCATAGACTGAGCCAATATTGTAATATATTGCATTTCTTAAAGTATTCATTTTAGAAATTCATTACAAATACTTTCTTATGTTCCCAGTTCATTAGGGACACATTTGAGATTCATCGATATGTGAGTAACTCATTATGAATCTTAACTAGGCTTTTGGTAGTTTCCTAAAAGCCCTTGCATTAGAGGTTTCAAGAAGAGAGTAATAACATTTCAAAATCATCAGGTAGCCTCTTCTTATCTTTTGTTAATTGCTCTGACACAACCGAGTCGGGTTGATGCATAATGGACTAATGTATTATTTATTACCTGTTCACCTTTGCACTGACCAGATGGTTCTTCACCTTGAGCCAGAGACAATTTTATTTTTTCATCTTCTTACCTGAAGAGCACCCAACACCAGTGGCAACACGGCCTATGAAAATACCGCCAAAGCAACTTCTACAATTTCTCAACCAAATAAAATATTTTTTTACTAATTTAGAATCAGTGAATTAAAGAGAAGAAGGATCACGATTTATTCTGATACTGTCTCTTCCCCTACGGATGCAATGACAAATTTTTACTTTAGGAAACTTATTATTATTTATGAAAGAGAAAACTGAGTGTGCAGTTTTTTTATTTTTTTATTTCATCCAGTAAAATAGTTAATAATTATAATTAGTCACAAGGCCATAATACTTACATAATCTCGTTATTTCTAATAATTTTAACAGCAACATCTTTGTTATCCTTATCTCGGGCTCTAACTACATTTGAGAACACTCCTTGACCTGTATAACCATATACAACATAACGTGAATCAAGTATTTCACCAATTCTAACTCTATAATAACCTTCTGCATCATCCCAATTGTCTGTCAAAGAAGGATTTTCAGCACCAATGCCACCTTTCTCCACCACACCTGGACTCTAAAAAACAAAATAAATAACAGTTTGATAAAAATAATATTAAAAAGTTATAAATAATTTTTAGGAGGTCCATACACTTCCCTACAGATCTTACAACTGATCCACGAGGAGGATTGGCTCTTCTTGATTAATGAAAAAGCAAAGATGGTTTCAGGTCAGCAAACTAGTATTAACCAACCGAGTAAAGGTATGAAGGGTTACACAGCAAACCATATCTAACCTCCGACCAACCCAACCTACTCAGCTAATTTCAGACTTGTCTGAGCCGTCGAAACATAACATTACATTAGTTAACTACGATAATATTCTACAACCAGTAGAACATCTTTATTTTGTATCTATACATGTATTTAAATGGCTTTCAAAATCAATTATTTTCCATGTTTAATAGGATATATTTTTAGCCTTTTAATAATGCATGTTTTATGTATAGTGTAAATATTGGCTAGTATATTTAAAAAGAGAGAGAGAGAGAGTAAGCTAATGTGCCAAGAAGGATGGAAGTTGATATGGTTATAAAAGTGCAATTACGAGGCCATCAGTGGGAATATATCACCCTCATCTTCTGATTTTAATCACAAAAGATGGACAATTAAACCAACACATGTGAAATAAAATCAGGCTGAAGTACCTCCATAGATGGCGAAGAGAAAACCCGAAAATAATAGGACATTATATTTTTTCTTGGCTAAAGAAAAAAAGGATTGGTGGCGTTGACATCGAACTTTCAGGTTTGCTAAGCAGTTTAGATAGATAAATAGAAAGAAAACTTTATTCTGGAACAAGGTCCCTTATGAATAACAGATATGAACAAAAAATAAAAACTACATCTGGCCAAAAATTACATTAGTCAATGTTAAAGAATATATAGTAACTACATCTGGCCAAAAATTACATTAGTCAATGTTAAAGAATATATAGTATCTTCAGTAAAATTAAATTAAAACAAGTAAAAATAACACCATTTTGAAAAGAAAAAAAAAAAAAAAAAATTATTTAAATGAAAAGAGAATAAAATAAACATGGGTTGATTTTAAAAATTAAAAACTATAAATTTTTACAACCATTCACCTCAGTCAAAATCTGTTTCGCAGTATTTATTTTATTGTATAACATCATTTTGGGATGTGAGAAGGAATTGGTAAAAATGATATTTAAATGAGGACAAGGAAGAGGCATGGCGGATTTCAGAAGGCAAGGAATGCCAGAAGGCAGTGGATCGGGCAATAAAGGAATATTCAAACGTCTTAGTTCTATGGGAAGGGATATAAAGGTCGGAAACACGGGATCTTGTTTTCTGGGAGTGGACCACGGGTTTAAACTGTAGGAGACTGTAGATGTAGGAAGGGTGTCGGGTGTTGATCGCTTGCAATAGGAAAGATCCAAGGAAATATTGTCTGCGGAAAGAAGGGAAGAGCCACTTTAACTCTTCGTAAAGGTGGGACACATGAGACCGCCTCGATGTACCGAAGACAAATCATAAGCACGTATTCATGAGTCGCTTCAATCTATCCTCGAGTACCATCGGGATGCCTCCGTACACCACACAGCCGTAGTCAAAGTGGGGGAAAATGAGAGAGGATACAAGGAGCTTGCGGATGGGTTGTGGGAGTAGGTGGCGGGAGCGATGAAATAGCTTAAGGGTACCTATTGACTTACGGGAAATGAGGGCGATATGGGGTTTCCAGGAGAGGTTTTCGTCTATGGTGATTCCTAGGTTTTTAACGGAGGAGCTGAATGTGATAGGATGATCCTTGATGACTAAAGGAGGAAGGAAGGAAATGGATTTAAGAATAGAATTGGAACCTATAATAATGGCCTGAGTTTTCGTCGCGTTAGGTTTAAATTATTCAGACTTGCCCAGGCACTGGCAAGATTATTATTATTATTATAAAAAAAAAGGATAATGAATACGGATATGTAGCTGGAGAACTGAATTAAGACTTGAAAATTGTCCAAGCGCTGGCCAAATGTTGTCAAAAATGAAACTATAAAAGAAATAAAACATTGGTGGAAAATTACCTTGAATTTATGAAAATTAATTTTTTTTTAAATCATTCACCAAATGCCAGGTCAGATACACATTTTACTACACATCTCTCTTTACCCTATCCCTCCCTCCTCTCTCTTCCTTCTCCCATTTCTTTAAGTAATAATAACATCTTTTTACTTACTAAATATATACAATTTTTTCAGTATCATTTATGTTTATATTTCTTTGCATGTATATATAATGAATTGATATAGTACTATATCCTATCTTTAAAATTAATATACCTAAATAAGCACAGAACTAGTGTGTATACAGCCCCAGATTTCATCAAAAGATAGAGCTTTGCATGCAACAAGATTTGTATGATGACTAGGAAGTCCATATACCAGTCCTAACCAAAAGAGTGGATCTCTTAAGATAAATTATTAAAAAAATATATATATATACACAAAAAAACTAAAATGATAGCAAGGCTGACAATAAAGACAGTTTACTCACATTATACTTGTCAACAGGGGTGTCAGCTTCAGCGAACATGTCCCATTTATTTGGTTGCTGTTGTGCTTGTTGAGATGGTTGCTGTTGTGTAGATAATTTACTCGGTGTGGGCTCTATTGCCTCTACTTCAAACCTGGATTTTCTTTTCCTATTTGTTTCAACAGAAACAGGAACAGTATCAGGTACAGGGCTGATATGGGACGTGGTCATGTTTGAGTCCTCACTAACAGCTCCTAATCTCTAAAAAATGAACCAAGAGAATCAATAAAAATATTTCGCATAAATATAAAAAAAAAGAAAGAAGAATTGTGGGCATATTAAACAAAAAAAAAATGTCTAATTCATTTCATTTAATTCTTTGGTAATGTAACTGAAAATAAGCAAAATCTATATTATGCAAATATATTTTTACTTTTTAATGAAAAATAACTGGTGCAATATGTCAGAAATTTAAACAGTATAGGTTGATTAAAATGTGTTATTATCAGTAATAGGATGCAAAGTTATGATATATTATAAGAATCACCAATGTTCAAATCTACTCCTAATTTGTAATAATATATCCAATATAGCTATTTCATCTTTTGCATCATATAATGTTACAAAACTATTTCGTTAAGAGCAACAAGAAAGTTTTGTTGCTATTTAATATTTGCAAAGTTTTTTTTTTTTTAATTATTAAAACACTTTATTCAGAAATATTACAATTTGTCACAGATTTGCAAAGTTAAAATCAATGAAACGGATAGCAATATTTCATTAAAACAAAGGAAAATATCTAACAAGCGAGTTCCTGAAGATTGGACAAAACCCCAAAATGTTGAGATAGTAAATATCGACAGCCCCACAGCAAATGCCTGCAAGGACAATTTCTATGGAAAATGAGGTACTGAGCTATTCTGGTTAATCTTGTCCTGTCATATATTCTGATCCCACAAAATGAAATTTACGATGTTTCATTTCTTCTCTATAGTCTTTTGTAAAAACCTGTAAGTTACAGTGAAGGTTATAGAGATTATGTCATTACCGAAAAAACGTAATGAAATGCTCAATGAAAGGTGGTCACCTAAATACTGAATATATAAAGCATTGGACTACAATATCAATTTAATAAGCTAAAATTAATTTTTCCCATAAACTTTGTATTCTTTTCTTAAATTTCTAATAAGTATCGGGCAGTTCCAGCCCGATGCCTGTGGGCAAATGGCCGGGTCCCCTTACTCTGAGGCTGGCACTGCTTACAAGGCAACTAGACAAAGCAAATAAGAGAGTGGCAAGTGGGAATATAATACTTAACAGCCTTCAAAACAATCGAAACCTCCTGGACACTGCAAAATGAGTTTGACTGAAAAACAGCTGCAATGCCACGGAAGTCCAGAGAGTGAGAGACATAGAATTGATTTCATTGCTTGAAACATTTAACACGAGATGAAAAAAGATATCTAGTTTCATTTCTTCAAAATCATAAGAAAATCAGAAAGGAAGTGATCTACGCATCAGCAGGTTACCTAGAACTTACCAAGCATTCGTGAATCAAACCATGTGCATATGAAGGTGAGTATATTAAAAATGAATCTTTCACAGACTAGTCTAAAATGGAGCGCATGCACTCCGTTTGAGCCGCCCCTACAGTGGGAGACAAAAAAGTGAATAACTCGAGTGATCAAATACTCGCTTTCCAGTCAAATTTTTTTACAAATTTTCATATGAAGTATAGTTTCTCTGCATATAGGAAACTGAATTTGTTCATGGCAGGCTTTAATCATTATGAACAAAGTTATGGGTGTTACTACAATAAATTTTATTGCTTTTACTTCACTGATACATGTTTTTCAAAGTAATTAAAAAACTAAAAGTTAGAATTATTGGCTCTAACAGATTATTTGGCAGAAATAGGATCAAGAAAGTTACATAGAGCATTACATATTTGTCTTAGACCTACAAAAAAAAATTGAATAAAAAATATAACGCTCATAGAACAAAAATTAAGCAGTTTTTTCGTTTCCTAAAAATTTTTAGTTTTTATTCTTGCCGGATTTAGCAGAGTGGCTGTAGATATGTTTTAAAGAAAACTAAAATGAGGTAATTTGTAATTTTTATATTCTATAATTGACATTAAATACTGAATGAATAGTAATTTAGTAATTATTATTAATTAAATCTACAATTTGTGACTTGATTATTAGGCTAATCGAGAAGAAGAATTATCTATTCTTTATGGAAAATATAATGAAAAGGAAACAAGTAATGAACACCACAATCCTCACCCTAAGGCTGAATGATAATTCATGACAGAATATGAATCATTGAGTTAAAAAAGGCAGAGAAAAAAAATCATATCTTCAAATCTTGAAATCCACATTTTTTCCCCATAATTTTAAATATTTTTCGACTAGACAATATCCAAATATTATGTATTAGAATCAGAAAAATCTGGAGTGCGCAACACACAACTTTCACTTACCGCTCAACTTTGAATAGAAATTATTTTCTGGTCATCTTGGGCTATTATAAAATTTTTGAAATGAATTTTTAACTGAATCAAAGTTAAAAGATTGTAGCTAACAAATCATAGATACTATTAAAATAACAAAAGTCCTATTTATCACATCACCAGTGGATTATGGATTGTATGACTATTAGTTATTAAACTGTTATTTTCCATTGCAAAGTTTACTAATACTGAATTAAGAGATTTGCATTGTCTGTCATAGACAGGTCAAAAGTTGTCACACTATTTTGAAAATTAAAATTAAAAAGGTTTCGGAAAGTGCTAGGAATTATAAATGAGTCTGCTCGTTAGAAATAAATTATACTCATCTTGCCTTTTTCATACAGAATGTAGACCGTCATAGAGGAAAATATTGATGTTTCAATAATAGACTGTCGAAGACCATGGAATTAGTAGAGTTGAATAGCACACCTATGGGATCATTTCACTTAGTAAACTCAATTTGCCCAAATTTGTTAGTTAGAATCTTCTCAAACCGAGGCCACGAATTATAAAAGAAATCTATGCAGGATTCAAATAAATTAATGTTTCGCTGAATCCGATCTATGGATGAATGGAAGGCATTATTGGTTGAATGGAAATTTTTGGAAAAACCTGAGGATGACAAAGATGGACAGGAACTAGAAAATTAATTTTATTAGGGAGGGTAGAAGAATTGATATTTCCATTAATTAATTTAAAGATGAAAATAACATATTTTTTCATACTCTGTGCTAGAGAATCAATATTTATATTGATATTCATATTTCAAAAACGTTTATAATATCGATGAAAATATCAATTATTGATATTTCAAGTCCATTCAAGTTATAGGCCGATATTATTACCGATGACAATATCGATATTGGGCCTTCGATATCCCATCCCTACTTGGAATACCATACTTTCTGTAGATACAGTAGCATGGAATTAACCATATAATTGAAATTTAAAAATAAAGAGCCACAGAGTTTATTTTGCATAATCAGATGGGTGTTGAAATTCATAAAGGGTGTGTAAGGTCCTTAACTAGCATATTACCTTTAAAAGTTCTTCCCTTTGTTTCCTTCGTTTTTCAATTATTTGTTCTTCATCCTCTTCATCTTCTACTATGTTAATGTTTGATAACCTGAATATAAATATTTATCATCAATTACTTAACATAAAACCACACTAATTAGGAAAAAGCAAAAATAATTAACTCACTCTTCATCAGAAGAAGAAGACTTATATTCACCCAAACCTTCTGAAAGACTGTCTTTGTACTTATCTTTGACACCTCTGGTTTTATGAGATCTGTATTTATGAATCAAATATATAATTAAACATTTAAATATGAACATAATTTCTTATAAAACCAAATAAAAACAAGCTATGGTACCTTTGGTGATTCCTTTCTCTACTTCTAGACCTTCTAGAATCTTTTCGGTCACGATCCCTATCTCTATCACCATCTCTTCTCCTATCTCGATCTCGACCTCGAAAGAATATTATAAATTTATTATCCCTTATATATTTAAATAAAAGAATAAGTCTATACAAATTTACATGTAATACAAATTCATCATACAATAATAGGCCAAAATTTAATGAATAAAATAGATCTCTTCAGTAAGGAAAAATACCTTGAGGTGATCTACTCCGTCTTCGACTTCTATCATCATCTCTTCTTAATTCTCTCGAATCTCTTCTATCATGCCTACCTCTTCCATCATCATGCCTATTCCTAGACGAATCTCTTCTCCTACCTCTTGATTCACTTCTTCTGTTTCTAAATTCCTCATGACGATGTTCCTCTCTGCGCCTTTCCTCAAGTCTTTTTATTTCTGCTTTTCGTCTGTTAAAATTAAGCATAATTTGAACATATGAAATTTTATCATTAAAAAAATAAAGAAAGAAACAGATTTTTATTTATTTCTAGCACTTCAAGAGAGTTTTAGTGAAAATACTAGATTTAGTAGACCATTAGGTATGCTAAATAAATCTAAAAGCAAGATTAAAATTAGCCAAGATTATTATGTTTTAAATAATTTATTTTTTCAAAGTTAATTATTATTTTATTAACCAAAGCTACTGAAATTTATCAGCACATGATTAGTTAAAAAATCTTTTCTTTTTTATCTCGCATTGTTAACATTTTTTTCTATGGAGGTAGTAACATGACAATTATGATAAGAGTGCTTATGTAAACCCCAAGACAGACATAAAAACATACAGTACTAAGAACATTATAATTATTCTTGGGAGACTTTTGTTAAAAATTAATTATTTTTTTGTCAATAATTTACTGTTTTATTATCTATTTAAAAATATCTGTTAATTTTTTAAAAACCTTTTTCACGACTTAATTTATTATTACTGAAGGAAATAAATCAGGGTGGCTACCAGAAAGTTAAAGTGAAATTCTGGGACTTTTCCCCGACATTTTTCTATTTAAGGATAGTTTTCCCTGACCAATATACCTGGAGATACAAATATTAATAATGTATAATTTTTAACAAACTTCTCTTCAATATATCTACGACAGTCAACTATCAATCCACTATTATAACTAAATTTATTTATTAAAAATGAATGAAAATTGACAACAAAATGATATGAGTAAATAATATTCAGTACTTTAAATAACTAATATAATGTTTTAGAGAAAGCATTATGATTTTTTATTTTGGAAAACTAAACTTTTAGTAATTTAGTAATTAAAATTTACTGTCTTTATTTTATTTTCATAAACTAAGAGGAAGTTTAACTAACAGTAGGGATATTCATGCAACCAGTGCTAAGTATTTTAAACCTCTTAGTGTTAAGTATTTTAAACCTCTTAAATGTGTAAAGTCGAGAAAATTATTTACAAAATGTGTGTTACATATGGCCGCTAACACTCTCAATGAGTATCCATTCATAAACTAAGATTTTGAACTCACCGTTCTTCTTTTCTTCTTTCCTCTTCTCTTCTTCTGAACTCTTCTTCTCTCCTTCTATATTCTTCTTCTCTACGCCTTGCTTCTTCTCTACGTCTTTCCTCTTCCTTCCGCCTCCTTTCTTCCTCTTCTCGTCTTTTTTGTTCTCTTCTTTTTTCTTCTTCTTTTCTTTTTTGTTTAATTAAAGAGTTAGAAAGTCTAGATTCTTTATGTTTATCATCGTGGCTATCTTTACGGAGCCTGGCATCTTTATTTGGACTCCTGAAATGAACAATTAAATATGAAAATAATAATATAAGTATTTATGATACGGATAAATTTAAATAAAGAATAAATGAAAATAATAAGACTTAAACAACTAACTTTCCTATCTAACAATAACATAGAGGGTAAAATATTATGTATGGCATGATATCAATATTGCTTACCTACTATGGGCCTTTTTTTTTTTAGTTTGTTTGAAATCCTTCTCATCACCACTTTCAATAATAATTGTACCATCATCCTTGGTGCTGGAATCAGTATCTGACATGTAAGCTCCAAGCCTTGCTTGTAATAAAGCCTGGAGGAAAAAAAAAAAAATGAAATGCTACTAAAAACCAAAAATACTAATAACAAAACAAACACAATATAATAACTATCTATATTTAATAAACTTTGATTATTTATAACTCTTGATGATAATTAGAAGCATGGCAACATTAAATTATGTAAAATGATTTTGCACATTCAAAGTTATAAAATAGCAAGTATTGAAAAAAAACAAAATAAAATCTAGATAGCAATGAATCCAGAATATTCTAAAGCAATAAGACATTTTCTAGACACAGAGTAACCATTCAATATAAAAGAGCAATTCCATATGAAGGAACAACTAAATCATCACCAGTCTGTTTATTTTACTCAGTAAATTCATAATCAGTTAGTAAGTTCAGGGTTAGTTATAAATTAGCTATTAACGAAGAAGGATCTTTGTAAAGAAAGGTAGTCAGTCCTACTTATCAGTATTAGAGTTAGTTATATCTCATCAATAAGTGTTTTTGACACTGTCAGTGAATTTATTTATATTGTGAAGTGATCAGGTATAATTATATTCATGTATCATGCAAGGCCTCTGGTAAATACTGTAATTAAAAATAATAATTCTAATAATAAATTAGTAGTAACACTAATTAATTTATTTTTGTTCTCACTTTTATCAAAATGTCTAAAACTGTAGTAATATATATAACATAAAAAAACAAACAAAAAAACTAGAACATCTTGTATTAAGTATTTTTTCTCTATCTAGAACAAAAAGTACTTTGTTCGTATGTATCAAGTAAACAATATATTTTGTGAATAACAGCACGAAAAATAAGAAATATATGTATTTAAAAACAGTCTTATTCACAAAAACTCAAAACTTAAGATTGTGAAAAAATTATTATCCTAGAATTTTTTTAATTATTTTTTTATAATAATAAAAATAATTAATTTTGTTAATATTTGGTAAAAACTTCTCTTCCTTATGCCTGTATCTCCTAGCATAGATAGTTTAGAGGCTGGATTGTAATGAAAAATTGACATAAGCTATTAATGCCTAGTACAGGATCAGGATTGAAGAGGAAATGCCAGAAAGCTGGTATCTCGGAATAAAATGATCACTTAAAAAAAAATATTGGGAGACTAAACGGAATGTGCTATCTAACAGAGCATTGTTATTACAAATCTTTTGCAAACAAAGTACTCCCAAACATTCTCTTAAAAAAATTTCTACCTTAGGCTGAAAAATAGCTGGGTACATATTAGGCAGGAGGAAGATCCACAACTGACGAAATCTTGTCAATCAAGTAAAAAAGTATTAAAAAAACAACCCAAAAACAAAATAAATTGGTCATTCAAACTTTGTATTTCATTTGTGATCAGAATAAATAATCAAAATAGCGCATAGAAATTTCTATTCTGGAAGGGTCTTTTTTGAATTTACACTGCCCCGTCAAAAAATATTTAAAGACTTATAATTCTTGAGATTTTCTTGGTTTTTACTTTAATCCACTCTTTGTTTATATTTATTAAATGAGGGACATTAGGGATTAGACACATCATTTTTATTCACAGTTTACCAACAAACGATGGAATTTTGGTTTATCTATTTCAAATTTCCTTTCAGCCCATGTTTATCTTTCGTTTACCTCAAGTCTGTTCTCTCTTTTCTCTTTAGTCTAGTTATAACAATTAATTTAATTCACAATGAATCGTTTCAGCCACGATAATTCGGTCAGAATCATCGCTCTCTCTGAAGAAGGCAAAATATGTTAGATCGCTAATCACCTTGGTATTCACTATTCTTCAGTTTCAAGGACCATAAAAAGGTATAGGAAGACTGGTAGTCATCCAAAGCGACTAACATCAAGGCGTTCCAGGATTACTAATCCCATAGATGACCGCTTCATTAAAATGCACGGACTTCAGAAGCGTAATTCTACATTTCCGTCCATTAAAAGCTTGATCGGTTGTGTTCGAGGGATATAATCTCAGAGTTTACGGTCATTAGAAGACTGAGAGAGTCAAACCTCAGTTCAAGAAGGCCATCGGAAGGTGCTCTTCTCACCATAGAACACAGCGTAAAGAGATTGAGATTTGTAAGGAAACACTAATCTTGAACTATGGAGAAATGTAAAAGTTTTATTCACTGATGAGACGAGAGTGGCCCTTAACAGACCAGATGGCATGAAAGAGTTTGGAGAAGGCCTGTAGAACGGTATAATCAGTGCTGCACGTAAGAAACTGATCCGTTTGTAAAAGTTGGAAGAAACATTTTAATTTACTTTAATAAAACGTGTTTATGTTCAGTTCATAAATGTTTATTACAGACTTCAGAACCTTTATTTATTATGAAAAACAAACGTATTTGTAAAATTCAAATATTTCAAAGAGTAGCGATATTTTTGATGGATAGTTTATAAGCCATATACAATGGAAGCAAAAGCAAGACGGTATAACCACTCTTAAAAAAGTTGTACTTGGTATTATAGATGAAAACTTTTCCATTGTATACATACTTTGTATGTAATGGCAAATTTTTTTTTCTAATAAATTGGATTTGCAGAATTACAATTTTACAAATACATTTATTTTTCGCTGAACTATACCATAATATAGCAACTAGCAAACTTTTTAATGTCAAGATACTCATAAAAATAATCCTTTGATTGCAATAGGCTTACAGCATTCATAGTAACCCTTCAGGAGTCTTCAGAGTAAAAAATGTCTAAAATATTAATAATCATTATATAAAAATAGGCAAAGACAAAACAGTTCAGAAACTTTTTTTTTTATGTTTCTCCTACGATTTTCTTTTTTTCTTTAGTAGCTATTGATGAGCTTTAGTGTTATTAATAAAAATTTTTTTTTTGGAAACTGCATATAAATAAAAGTGTAAATGTTAAGTTTACTCGAAACCGCTAATCTCTGAATGTTTTTCACAGATTGCTTTGAAATTTTGGTACTAGTTCACAAGAGTTCTGCACGGATTACGCGTGGTTCACAATCACTTCGATCACACTTGTTCATGGAATCCCGAAAACAGCCAAACGTTGTAGTCTTTTATGACGTCAGCTATTGCCCCAGAATACAATTCCTTTTCATGCATTTTTGAAAGAAAAAAAAACGTATTCCCTTCATGGAACTTCCTTATTAACAATTTATTAATGAATTGTGTATTTACTAATTAGTTAATTATTAATTTTTATTATAACGGTAATTTGAAGTTATCTATTATCTTTTTATATGTTATTCGGGTTTTTCAATAAAAGTTATTAAATTTATAATTTGTTTTAGCAAGCCTTTTTTAGAATTGCGCAATCGTCTATCTAGTTTATGTATTTTTTTGATTTTTAATAATACGATGGTCCACTATTTTCTAGTGGGGGGGGGAGGGGAGGACTCTTTGTATGTATATACTATCTGATTTGAGATTGAGCATCAAGTTTATGTAATTTTTTTTTAATTCTTAGATATACGGATCCATTATTTTCTAGAAGTCGGAACATTTTATGAATATACTGTCGGATTTAAAATTGTTCGTCGATGTTTTGTAGATTTTTGGATTTCTTAGATATACGAGTCCACTCTTAAGTTGTCAAGGATGCTTTTTATGAAAATAATGTCAGATTAAAGATTGCGCGAGAAAAGTGTACAACATTAATAAACAAAATGTATTAATCAATCATTATATAGATAAATATTTATTCAAAAAATGTCTAATCCCAACGAGACTCGTAGATTTGCCAGTTAGCTAACTGTTAATTTAAAATTTATTTCTTCGTTTTAATCGCTATTATTTTTATTGAATGAATTAGCTGCGTAATTATTGTTATTCGCAGTTATTTTTCTTGGCAATGCGAAAATGGGGATTATTGTAGTCATTAGTACAAAAAAATAAAATAAAAAAAATTGAAAAAAAAAAATTTGAAAAAAAAATTTATTTTTGAGAAAGGAATAAACGTATTGAGAAAACACTGGCGAAGAATATCTGATAATTCTGAGATAATGAATAATGGAAATCATCAATAAGAAAAATAATATCGTGAAATAGCATTCAGAAATGTAATAATAAAAGGTTTTTATCAATTAATATTTCTTTTTTACAGATCTATAATACATGTACAAGTTCAATTCAGGTTTCATGATGTGTAGCCTAAATTTCGAATGTAAGTCGGCTTCTGCTATATAACTGAACATGGTTAAGGTTAAAGTACTTAAATGGAGGGAAAGTTAAAAGTAACTGGTCCAAGAAATCAGTCACCTTCGTTCTCTTTCGGATAAACCCGAACACATTCGGGATTCCAGGAACAAGTGTGACCGAAGTGATTGTGAACCATGCGTAATCCGTGCGGAACTATGGTGAACTAGTACCGAAATTTTTATACAACATTGCAATCAAATTCAGATAGAACATTAAGACAGTCATTACAGCTTCAAGAGTGTTATTGATACATTTCATTAGCATCTGGCTTTTCATTTCAAAATGGTGGCAGAAAAGTGTATGTCGCTATAGAATACAGCACCAAAATGGCTGTAATAATGTTAGTAAAACTCGGCTGAAGAATTCTCTTTGAAGCCCCTTTATTTTATGTATATAAAATAATTCCCCGAAAAGGGGCTGAAAAAAAATAACAATGGATTCTAAATTTTATTTACAAATAACTCAAAAAGAACTGCAGTGTTTGGTATTTTAAGTATATTAAAAGTGTATTTTAAGAAATACAATGAACGAATGTATAAGAGTAAAAACAATTTTTTGAAAACTTGCAAAATCCTATGTTTTCTTCAAATTTTCAATAATAATTATTGTCAAACTTCGACCACTGGGCAAACACTAGTAATTATAATTAATATAATTAACTGAAAAGATTTCCTTAATATGTACAGTCTACATTTAAAGTAATTAATTGAGTATCAAGTCTTAATGAGCTAAAGTAATAATAAAAAATCACCTTTTGTCTCATTAAATCTTCTAGATTCATTTCTTCCTCAATTATTCCAACCTCAACACTATCAGAATCTATATCTTTGATTGGTTTACTATCAGATTCAGAATCTGAAGAATCTTTCTTTTCATCTGATAGTTTACTTCCATTCAATACAGAATTACCATTAGTCTTCTGGATATCTTTAGTAATAACCTTGTGTTTGGAAGATTTATGTTTGATCTTAACATCCCCGTTTTCCATTGACTCCTTTTTTTTGTGTTTGTGCTTGTGTTTCCTGCAACAAAATATAATATGAAAAATTAAATATATTAATTATTTTTTCAGAAGTGTAAAAATAATGTCTTGCTTAAATACTGGATCAGTATCATTACATAAAGGGAGAGTGGACAACCAGTTAGAGGTTAATACTCTAAAAACTAAGTACCGAATCTTTACCCTCTTGACTAAAATGACACACCGTAGAAATTCTATATAATAAGAAGCTGTCTCAGAGCGATTCTACAACATACCTGGATATAACATTAGACTTGAAACTTGGTTGGAAGAACCATTTGGATTAATTAATTGAACAAGGAGAAGGACGATTAAGTATCCTAAAAAGACTGGTAGGAATCAAATGTGGCGCACAGAAGGAATTATTGGTCCTATATAAGATGAATGACACAATACCTTATGTTTATCATATTGAATGACACTAAGTGCACAATGCTCCAATTTCATAAAAGGAAAATTTATCAGTGATTTAATTTTAAGAAATATTAATTAGTGACTATTTGAATAAACCCACAATTTACAATTTCTAAAAAAATATAACTAATTAAAGTACTCACTTTTCTTTCTTATCTGATGAATGTTTTTTATGCTTGCCATGGTGTTTATGTTTTTTCTTTTTAAGTTTCTTAGATTCTTTGCTAGCTTCATCTTTTAATTTGTCAACTGTATTATCTGGAGGAACAGCCTCAGCATTGGAGAGCAGAACTTCTAAGTCACCAGTTCTAAACAAATAAAATAAGAATTTAAAGTTTTATAACAAAATTTCATAATTTGTAATAATTAAATGAATAAAACTGATAAGATTGAGTAATGAGAATACATTTTCCATTATTGTCTTAGGGAGTATACATCATATAATTACATTTTAGACTATTAAAAAACATACAATACGTACCCCATTCTTTGGATGTGTTAAAGCAAGGATAGACAGATTGTTTCAAATATTATGAACTCCAAAATGTAATAGAATCGCCATTTTAACTAGAGCCCCACTGTTAGTCCATTTTTTATGGTTAACTAGCAATCATTCAGCAAAAGCTGAGAGAAAAATAAAAATTCTAAACAAAATAATGTTAATAATATGTTAAACAAAACAATTGACTCATTTTATCAATTGATGACAACAAAATTGGAGTTATTATTATGAACTAAAAGAACAGTAAAACTGTATTTTGTGATACGTAGGAACACTAATTAAAACAGATATCGATATCATTGATAATTTTTGAAGTTTTATTTTCGAAAACAGGAGTAATTTTCACGGTCATAAATTTTAATTTTCTATAACTTTTTTTTCGGTCACTTAAAATATCTGGGAAAATTTATTAACGTATATAAAATCAGTATCGTACAACTATCGATGCTGTATATTGACTCGAACCTCAAACGATTATTATTTTGCTTCAGTCAATTTACCATGCTTGAAATGGTACGGAGTCGAAAATTCTTGATGGTTCGGCCTGGTATGGCTTAATTAATTAACAGTATATTTACGAAATACTTTTCGTATTCTTATTATTTTAACCGATGGGATTATTCTAATAAATTATTTTGAACATTCTCTCTATTCTGTCTTGATTTGTTTATTATAAATAAATGTTATTGAATATTTGTTTTGTTTACTCAAGTGTATCATTTGAATTATACTGTTATTATTTACTAGGGCAACTCAAAAGCGATGCTCAACACACTTTAAAAAAATATTATCAATTAGTCCCTGATCAAAGTTCAGAGATGTTTTTACAGCTTCTATGTTATCCTAAAACCTTAAGCCAGGATGTCAAAACATATTTACTGCTTATTAATGTTATAATCATGGTTTAGTTAGTAGTTTCAGTGATAAGCTTATGAATGCTAATGTTTCAGAGATGTCAAGAAATGTGTATGGATATATCTTTGCTCTAATGATTTAAAAGTTAATTCAATTCAGAATTGGTGCTGTTAGAACTCATATTTTCCAATGGAGCCAATACAAGAGCTTTTCAATTCCCTTGAATCAATTGATTCAGAAACTGCAGAAGAAGCTAAAAAAAAGTTCCGTGAACTTTTCAACTCAAGTAGGAATGGAAATTAGTCTGTAATTTGAGTTAGCTTTTTATTTTTGTTTAATTAATTAATTTTTTTTAAAGCCAAGGAATCATGGCTTCTAAATGGCATGTTTGATTATTATCTATCTTGTGGATCAGAACGATCAATTGATGTCTTGATCTGTGTTCGAGAACCTCATGATCGATATTTGTTTGATAGGTGAGTTCACCTTTAATTTGTGTCTATTATCAGTTTTAAATTAATATTTAATTATTTTCCTGTGAACTAAAAGCATAATTATCAAGAAAGAGGTATAAAATAGTCGAAACTGGTTATTAACTGCAAATAATTTGTGCCACATAGTTGTTCTCCATCAGTGCTTATTAGGAAGATCTGGTGAGCTACTATGATGTGGATTCTAATCAGCCCTGGTGAATACCAATTATGTTAATCTAAATGTTAATAATTTCCATTATTTCATCTTTTATTTTTGACCATTACCTTTGACATACATTAAGGCTATCATCAATATTAAAAGATCCTCGATTTAAGCAATATGAAGTTATTATGTAACTTGTGTTTATAATATACATGAATTAAAAATCAAAATAAAATCTTATCACTAGCATATCTTTTAGGTTCAGTGCCATTTTTAAAAATTTGGTATGAATACGTTAGAGATGAATAATACATTTAATCTTCTACTAAGGGGAAATAAAAAAACGACATTCGATGAAATAAAAGAATGAAAAATCTATGAATTATATTATAATGTATACAAATTTATTATAATTATAATAATTATATTATAAAAGAAATTTTATGAAGCAGCCCTTGGATCTTGAAAAAGTCTCCTGAAGCCGAAACGTAGAATAATAAATACATAATGTGATGTATATTTGGTGACATGGCCTAATGCTTTAAAACAAAAAAAACTTGTCTCCATTATTTTTTTAATTTCTCGTCCTTTATCCTTTTTCTTGCATAAGACTTCCCTCAAGGAAGTCATATTCAGCAATTTCCTTGTTGACTATCCCTATTTACAAGACCACTAACTTTTCTGTTTCTTTTGTATGGTCTTCATTCTGTGACTACTTTAGACAATCTTGTCTTTGCAGTGCAAGAGGTGTCCATTCCGTTACCATTCACTTTTCCTTATCTGAATGGTTATTTCTTTTTGGCTTGTTCGCTTCTTAAACTTAGAACATCTTACTCTGTTCTTTTTCTTTTTATTTATGATACTTCTTTTTCTTTATGTTTATGATACTTCTTTCGATTCATTCTGCTGCATCCGGATCTTACTCCTGTGGCTTTTGTTGATGGCCAAGTTTGGTAGCAACTAATAGGTCACCACTGGAAGGATACAGCTATCAAAAATCTGCCTTTTAAGGTCAATATTTATGTCTCCTTTCATTACATACTAACTAATCCAGTACTCTATTGCCGCAGAGCAATATGAGGTTCCTTCCTACAGAGCCCAATAATCTTTGTCTCAGCTAGCTGCCTTCTTTGATTCTTCCTCACAAGTCTTTCTTGGTCTTCCTTATGGTAGCCTTCCAACCTCTCTGATCTCGTAAGTTGTCCTGATAATTCTAATAATTGTTTTCAACCTGGGAAAATGTTTTTCCTTTTCTGAGTAACAAAATTCTTTCTTAGTTTATATTTAGCAATTTCTTGTGGCTACTAACCAGGAGAGGCTTATTAATTATTTAATATAAACTAAATTAAAGGTACTTCAGAGGAAGACATTTTGAACATAGGGCATTTAAATCCTGTTTGGCAACATTAATGAGGATAAGACCTAGTTGGTATAAAATGCCATTTAATTTACATTGATATACCCAGTTCAATCAAAATTGTTTGAGCCGTTTTGAGAAAATTGGTTATATAAAGTGCCACTTGCAGTTAGCTAATTTTAGTAAAAAAGTTGCTGTAACTTTTTTCTGCCATTTACATACCTTAAGTGGATAATTTTAGCTTTGTATGAATTTTCATTTTTAAGCTAGGCTGTTCATTCATATACATACAGACAATTTAATTTGGACCCATGAGACTTCAAAATGTCTATTTCTGTCATAAACTCAGATTCAAAATTTTTCATGATTGCTATAATTTTTCGACCGTTATATTTTTTATAAATAAATTAAAAATGTAAGTTGTACATTACATACATATAATTTTTGGATTCTAAATACACCTTGCAAATAAACTCTTCTTTCATAGAGTAAATACGCAAGAGAGAGGAAAAAAGAAAAGAAAAGTCATGCACTAAAAATGGGCAACTAGCTTGATATTGTTATTTTGGCTTGTTTTTTGTACTTCTATTCAAATATATTTCAATATTGTATCCTAAATAGTTCCATATTTATATGGCAGATTTATATCAACAGTGTTTTTTTTCTTTCCAATTTTCTTGAAATGGTTCAAAGGATTCTAAACGTCACTTCAATAGCCCATTGGTTATACTTTTTTTGATACTATTCTATGGGGTCTTTGAATAAGGGAGTCAAGGTAATACTTGTCTTAGGACACTTTATATACTTTAATGGATTTATCCTGTATGAATTAGAAGACTATTGTGTTGACAAATAACTTTAAGTACTTAACGTGAACCTCTTTATTTATTGACCTAGATTTAGATGAATATTAATTTTATGGTATATTTGTTGTACCATATTGATATTTGTTTAGGCTCTCAGATACATTAAGAGGACCAAATAGACTGGCAGGACTTACACTTCTTGGTCATGTAGTTAGAAGACATCCATCTTGGATCTACAAAATTGCATCCCATTCCATTTTCAAAGATTTAATACGAATTTTGAAGGTATTATTTTCAACATTGAATGTTTTCTATTTTTAAATACTATCCCATCAATTTAATTTATTTTTTATGCATACTTTAACTATTGCAAATTATGAGAGTCATGTAATAATAAATTTTATCCAGTTTCCTTTTTTCCGTTCTATTAGATTTAAATTCTATTTATTTCAATATTCTTATTTAACTCTAAACATCTATTATTAATAGTTTATCTATTCTATTCATTATTTATATTCTTCTCTTAAATTTTCTAATTTGATGTTTCCTAACAAATATATTATCTAAGAATGTGTTTTTCCATAGTTACTATACTTACTATTTATTGATAAATTTTAACTCCTCCTACTTAAATTTCTCAATATTTATTTGTCAAAGAAGTTTGTCATAATCTAGTGTTACCTTCAGGAGAATGAAAAATATGAATGAAAGAAATAGAAAATAAAAAAAGCTTCTTCTTTCTCTTCCTCCAAGTTGCCACGAAGGGTGGAGATTATCTCGGCCCATCTTCTCCATTGTCACAACCATTCGACATATCTTTCATTTCTGTAAGAGAGTAGCCTTTCTTTTATTGCCCAATCTACTCAGATGACCTATCCATTTCAGTTTATGCTGCTCCACTATCTCTCCAACTGGTGAGACCCCAAGGTTCTCCCGGATATTTTCATTATGAATGCATTCCCTTTGTGTTTTCCTCTAGATCCTTCTGAGGAACCTCATCTCTGTAGCAGTCACTTTGCTCGTATAATGGTCTAGGACTGTCCAACTCTGTTCCATAGAACACAACTGGTAGGAATACTGTTTTTTATAACAGAAGTTTTGTATTGTTGATAGTTTCCTTATTTCCTATGAGTGTGGAATGTATTTGGAATTTTACTCCATTTGTTGTTTTTTTTCACTCTGTTTTACCTCGTGATCTACATGATTTCCATCTTTGCTAATTTTTGTCCCCAGGTACTCATAGGCATCTATATATAGAAGAGGTGCTCCATTATAGGTTACCACTTCCTCGTTTTATAATCCTTTCCAACCAGCATAATTTTTTTTCTTCTCCAAGCATTAATAGCCATTCCTCTCAACTGGAGCTCTTCACTCTATTCTTTCCTTTTGGAACACAGAGTCGAAGGCAGCCTTCAAATCTAGAAATGTTAAATTTACATTTTCCCCTTCCTTTCCCTTACTCTCTAATTTATTGTTGTTAGGGCGAAAATGTGATCTTGGGTCTACCTACTTGGTCTGAATGCTGCTTGTTATTCCTGAAGGGAACCTTATGTTATATTAACCATTTCTCTTCTTTCAAAAAGACGGCTGTATACCTTATATTTTATATCACCTAGGATAGACGTATTAGCCTGTAGTTTTCATATAGGGTTGGGTTTCTTTCTTATCGATGGGTATGATAATATTCTCTTATTCATTGGGTATTCTGATTGTATGTCCAAATTGTTTGGAACCGGCTCTACAATATTTGGTCATATTCTCATCCCAATATGTAATAAGCTTTGCTATGATTTCAAGATTATGAATGGTGTCATTCATATTGTTCTGGTTATGGTCAATATATAACTAACTGTTATATTTGATCCCTAGGTGCTAATTAAATAAAGTTGAGTACACTGTATTTGAAATAAACTCCCTTTTATTTCATCATTAACATGGTCCTTCATGAGTGGTCCATAATTAAAATTTTCTAGAAACTCTGAAAAGTAGCCACTTTAGTTTAAACTCTTATCTCAATAGTTTTGGACTGTTAAAATTCCAGCTGCTCTGCATCACTTTAAAAAAAGTATGTTATGGGAAAATTGATCGTTTCATCATTTGATATTTTAGGCTTACAAAATCTAGGTCATCAGTGACGGATTGATAAAATAATAGTATTATAAAAATATTTAGATGGTAAGAACATCATACATAGAGAATTAAATATAAAAATCATAGACGGTACAAAATATTATTTAAAAACAATTAATTACCGTATATTTTCTCCACTTGTCTGATTTATTTAAATTTATGTGTTTGCCGTCACTCATAATTTTCTTTTACAATTGTATATTTTAATTTTTATTTAATTAGAATAAATAATTAAGTGAAAGAAGTTACACCTTAGCAATCGGGAAGGTGTAGGTTCACATCCTACATGAAATAAACAATGATGATGGACATCATCTGAACAATTTCTGTGAATCATAGAACCTTATTGTTGGTAGCATCCTCTTCCCACACAAAAGTATACACAAGGGTACATGGCGATCCCCTAATGGACTCACTATTAATTAGATAGACCATCTTTTTATAAGTGCCAGGCATAAGTCAGACCTTCTTGATGTAAGAACATACAGAGGAGCAAACGCTGACTCCGATCATTATCTCGCCATAGCAAAAATAATATCAAGAATCTCTAATGTAAAAAGCAAAAGGGACCGAGAAATCGGAACGATATGTGTTGAAGGTTGATCAAGAACTTGATCTTCTCCCAATGTATACCTATGACAGAGAACAAATGTGGTGTGTCATAGATAGCTACTACAAGGTGGGTCAGACCCCCTTATCACGCACACCATCCCATCCCTATAAATTGCATATTGTGTCCTTTATAACAATTAATTAAAAAAAAAAAGCCAATTTTCTATCTACAGGTTCTATAAAACAATATTTTATAGAATCTTTTTTTTTTTTTTTTGGATCCTCCCCTTCTTCGCCGTTAAGGCTATAAGGGGTTTTCCGGGCCAGAGAGTGTGGACGGGGATTTATAAGGCTCTCTCGCCACCGGTACACGAACTCATGACTATTTTTATATGTGCTGTGCACACGCGTTAGCCCATTCGCCCACCCCTCCCACTCTTTTATAGAATTCCTTTTCTCTAAGGAGCCTCATCACCTCGAACTTTACCCTATGGTGCCAGTGTGTTATGAGGAGGGAATTGTTGGGGCATTTTCCCAGCACATGGGCTGGTGCTTCTGACTCTCTGCCGCGTTTACGACAGAGGGACCCAACTTTCTTTGACTGTCCACTGGCTCCTGGGACTCCACATAAAGGTGCATAATTGTATATGCAGATGATCTATAAATTTACTTATCATTCCAACCATCTGAGACGCCCGAGGCTATCCGAAAACTACAAGAGGATATTGACTATATCCATAGGTGGGCGGAAAAAAATAAACTAAATTTGAATGCAGACAAAACCAAGACAATCCTAATCGGCTCCAAGCATCTCATCAGTTCCCTTTCTTCTCTCCTTTGCTTTACCTAAATAACTCTCCCATCCATTTCTTTCCGATAGTCAAAAACCTTGGAACGATCTTTGATCAGAACCTCTCTTGGAACAACCATATTTCCCAGATTACCCGTAAATTCATAACTATCCTTAAACAATTCCTTCGATTCCATGATTCCATTAAAAAAAAACCAGACAGCTCCTTGTAATATCACTTGTCTTCCCCCACTTCGACTACGGTTGCCTGGTGTATGGTGGGCTATCTGCCAGGCTAGAAATGAGACTGAAGAAACTCATGAACTGTTTCATAAGATACATCTTAGGGATCTCCAGGCATTCGCATGTTTCATTCTGGTATACCGAGTTGAAGTGGCTTTATCCTACTTTCCGACGACAATTTCTCCTCGGTGTTATCCTTTTCCAAGTCCTCAGAACCAAAAACCCTCCCTACATCCTGAAACTCCTTACTCTACGCTCCTCTATCCACTCTCTTAATACTAGGTCTCAACCTATAGATTTATATATTCCCTCCCATGAAACTACATCATTTGTGCTACCTCCTTTTGGAATTCTCTTTCTACCTCCATACGTCAATCTTCGTTCACAAATTCCTTCAAACAACTCCTGGTCCACCACTTACTCCACATTCAAACTTCCTCTAACATTTAAAATTACTTGTGTCTGTATAATGTTTAATTTGCACAATTCCAATAGCCATAAGCAGTTAATTAGTTAGTATTTCTTATTAATTTAAGCCAGACTAACACCCATAAATTTGTAACGCTATTATTATTCTTAGGTGACTGTAGTCCCAGAATAAAATTATTTTTTCATTTCAATCATATCTCAGCTGAGAATGGTGGCATGTCAAATAGAGATAGTGGTTCTGAACAGGGTACTGGGGACCTCATGCTGGTACTTTCTTTTTGCTATTTGATAAATCTTTGGGCCAGACCCCCCTACCATGTACCCCTCCCCCTCCTACCATGTACTCCCCCTCCTACCATGTACCCCCCCCCTCCTACATCCCTATAAATTGCACATCGTTACATCGTAGATGTGATACAAGATATGAGTTTCTTACTGACTGCTTTAATATTATCCCCGATTCCTATCCATAATTGATATATATTAGTAATACACGGTGGGCCAGACCCCCTAACCGTGCACCTCCCCCCCCCCCCCACATCCCTATAAATTGCATATCATTGTGTTCCTTGTAACTATTGATTAAAAAAAGTCAATGTTCCCAAACAAGAAGTGAAAGCACTGCTCCAAACATGGCGGACTGACGACTATGACTTTAGTTAGTTTTTTGGTAACTGAAAATCAGCATTTGGCTTAATTTTGCCATAATTTTTTTTTTATTAAAGCTGGATAGTCAGAGAATAATAAAACATGAAAAAATAATTGGCTTAGGCAATAAAAACACCAGTAAAGTCAATTTTTTTAACAAAAACATTTTCAAGTTGAAAATCAAGCATCATTTGTAATTAAATGGCCAACAATAATGGAAAACATGCTAGAATAAATCATCTGGAGAATATATTACTCTTTCTAAAACACTGATTACTTTTTAAAATATTTTAAGCAGTTCCGTAGAAAATGCACTTAAGCGTCAGAAAAGCGGTACTGGTGTAGGTGCCAACAGGTCTCTACCACACCAATTAGCACTCATAAATGGCTTAGTTATAGTGCTATAATAATGTTTTTGGTACATTATATTGATTGTATTAATGAACAAATATTAATATAATGATGTAGAGATGGTTGACCGTTGATATAATAT